TTGGAATTTTACGACAAAGATGAATTTTATTTATGAAGATTTATTTATTTATGCATACAGAACTGGGGTACAGGCCAGAGGTGCAGGGGTGGTGACAGGATTCACCAGAGGCAGAGTGGGGAGCAGAACAGGAGGACTGATGAAGTACAGTGCTGAGGGGAGCAGCAGGCGGGTCAGAAGAGGTCTGCTGCGCCATGTGGGTCATCTCAGGGGCGGGGATCAAATTCATGCAAAAGTGGCTTTAACTTCTTCTTAGTGCTGTGCTTTAACCTGCTGCGCCACCAGGGAGGGCCAAAGATGAATTTTTGTTGAAATAGTTTTGGGGCCCTCCCTGGTGGTGCAATGGGTTAAAATGCAGCACTATGAAGCTCTCCACAGCCACTGCAGCATAGTTCAATCCCTGGTCAGGGAGTGACTCACAGGGTGCAGCAGGCCTCTCCTGACCTGCCCGCTGCTCCCCTCAGCAGTGTACTTTGTCAGTCGGCTTGTTCTGTTCCCCACTTTGTCTCTGGTGAATCCTCTCACTTCCGCACCTCTGGCCTGTACCCCAGTTCTGTATTCATAAATAAACAAATAAAAAAATTTTTTTTGGAGGACTCTTCAATCAGTTGAAGTCCTTAATCAATTTCCTCTAGTTAAACTATTTCCAAGTTTTTCCCATGTCTTAATTTTACTAAAATCACTTTTATTGAAGTAATTTCTTATCTGCATAAAATGTATAACTAAGGTTTAAAAAACAAATTAGAACATGAAAGCAGCCCTTTTGAACCCCTTCATAATTATTACTTCTCCTGATGACTTCATCTGGTACTGTGCGGATTTTTGTTGAGCTGCGCTGTGTTCATTGTGAGCTGATCACTTCTCCTAGTAACAGTCACCGTAGACCTGCTTTGAAATTTGACGGCTTCTTCGATCTTTGGCCTAATGATGCCTCTCTGGGCAACCTGATAACCTGCGGCCAAGTCTCTCCACGCTGGGGTCAGTTGTCCACTCTGGGGGACACACATGGACACCTTGTGCGTATTGCGATGGCGGGTGTCAGACTGGTTAACTTGACAGCTTCTGCCAGTTTTGTTTTGAGACGATGTGCTGCCCTGGCCCCCCCCCCATCTTCTTTGCACCCCCTGCTCATCTCCGAAATGACCAGACTTAGCTGTGGTCCCACCCGCAGTGGTCCCCTCTGGTCTCCTGAGCCCAGAGCTCTGACCAGAGTCAGCACCCCTGCCTGCCTCCCCCGGCTCTCCCCTGCGGCCCCGAGACCTGCTCTTTCCCTCAGCCAGAGGATGTCCGACTCTCCCTTCAGCCAGCATGGGGTGGGGGTGGGGGGGCGAGGAGAGGATGAGGGGAAGAGCTGGGCGTGTGGAACATGAAAGGGGACGGCTGTGTCTTTCCTTGTTTTGATCCCCAGGAAGGTCCAGCCCTACCTGAAATGGAAGGCTCTAGCCTGTGGTTCATGGAGCAGCAGCTCAGACCGTCATCCCAGCCACCCTCAGCTGTTCAGCTCCTACCATGAGGGCGCAAACTGAAAAACCCGGTTTCTGACCCGGTAGTGTGTCCAGGCAGGAATGGGTGTCACTGTCGCTGCAAGGTAAGTCATCAGGAAAGTTCTCTCAGGGAAGAGAAGCTGAGGAGACGCGTAACAGACTCCGAGACACAGTTCCTCTTCTCAGGGCGAGACACAGTTCCTCTTCTCAGGGCCGCCTGCCGCCACACAGCTCCGGAGAGCTGCTCCGTCGGGGCAGACCCCCGTGGAGGCGACAGGCAGCTGGTTTCAGGGGCTCCTCAGAGCTTCTCCAAGTCGAGAGGAACAGCGGGTAATTAGAAGTAACGACTCCACTCAGAAACAGGTTTCCAAGCCTCAGGCTTCATCTTTCCTTCCTAGTTGAGTGCACCGCGGACACAGGCTCTGCTCCCACAGCCGCACCGCGGCCGCGCCCCGCCCCGCCTTCCTCTCTCTCCAGGTGGCTCCCGGTGTCTGCCTGTGTGGAGGGTGAAGCTAGAACTGAGGGGAAAAGAGGGAATTTTTCTTCAAAAAATACTAACACCGAGCCAGTCCTGAAAGGAACCGAGTAGGCGCATGTGGTCTTCCATTTTGAAAGAAGATGGAGTGGAGGCTGATGCGTGGGGGCGCCGTGCCCTCAGGCCTCGGCTTCCTGCGCTCCCCCTCACCTCCTCCCGCCCTTCCGGACAGCGCGCTGTGGTGTAACCTACACACCGCGACAGTCGTAAGGACCCGTCCAGCGCGCGGGGCAGGGAGACAGCGTGGCTGTTACCACCATCTAATTTAGGCCATTGCCATCACCCTGACAGGTCTCCCCATAGCTCTCTTGCTCGCTGCCTCAGCGCAGGGACCTGGATACTTGATACAGTCTACATGGGGTGGGGAGCAGGGGGGTCTTGTGGGCCCCGGCTGGCCTGATGCTCCAGTGGCTCGTGCACGCGGATGTCAACAACGGTTTCTTCAACAACGGTTTCTTCAGATTTTCCACTTCTTCTCAAGTCAGTTTTTTTTGGTAATTGTGGCTTTCCAAGAATTTTCCCATTCATCTAAAACTGCCTAATCTGTAGCAAAAAGTTGAAGTAATTAAATTTCTATAGGGTGAAGGGCCTATAGAAACCATTTCCTTTGTGCATGAAGTAGGTGACCTGTGTCTTCTCTTTTTCTTGGTCCTGGGATGGGGAGGGCTGAGGTGGAGGGGTGAGGACGGGTGGGGAGAGCTGAGGGAGGGGAGTGGAGGGGTGGAGGGGTGGGGAGGGACAGGACGGAGGGGTGTGGAGGGGTGGGGATTGCTAGGGGTGGAAGGGGTGGAGGGATGGGGAGGGACGGGGTAGGAAGGATGGGATGGAGGGCTGGGCGTGAAGGGGGGGACTGGGGGTGGCCAAGTGCAGGGTCTGTGCCTTTATTGCATTTCTCTTCTGGTCTCACTGGTTTTCTCTGCTGATGTATTTTTCTGTCTCATTGTTTTGTGCTCTTTGAGGCTCCGTTTCTACTGTGTGGGTTTTTTTTTTTTTTTTTTTTTTTTTTGAGTCTAGCTTGTTCTTCTGGTTTCTCCAGGCACAATCATCTCAGTTATGGATTTTTTTCCCACTCAGCTCCCAGTCGTCAGCCGCTCAGGCAGGGGCTTCGGGTTCCAGAGTGTGCCTGGAGGAGCCCCTTCTTTAGGGGTGGAAGGTGCAGAGTGGCGCCCCCTGAGACAGTGCGCGGACACCCCTTCTTACCCATTTTCCTCGTTTTTCAGGAGTAAACTTGTCCTGGTGCAGTGAGCTTTCAGAACTGTGCAGTGACTGTTTCTGATGTTTTCTCCAGCGTTATAATCGCCTCAGGGAGCAGCACACGTCTGCCCAGCGAAGGCCTGTCTCGCAAACCGTCTTCTTTTTCTTCACCAGAAACAAAATGTGGCTTCATCCTGTTGCCTCTCATGCTCATACAGAATCTACTCTCTGGGGGCTTGAGGGCCGTGCTGGTTTTTAAAAGTACTTATGTTAAAAAATACTGCTCTGAGGCTATCACTTTTAAGAAGAAAAGCAGTTCAGTGAGTCACGCGCCCCCTCAGTACTAACAGGGAGGCGCGGCGGGAACGGCCGTGGCACCTGCTCGCCCAGGGCCCAGCTGTGTTCATCACCTGCTCCGTAAAGAAGACAGAAAATGGGCCCTGGCTTTGCTGACTTTGCCTCTGTCCTTGCACTGACCGAGAGGTGGGAGCAGAAACAGGCCACAGAAGGACAGGGCTTAGTGGCCAGAGTGGGGACGGGCTGTCCACTTGCTGCTGGACACAGGCCCTACCATGTGCTGGCCAACCCAGGTAGAGGACCCAGGGGCCTCTCCCTGGGGACACGGTGCCCCAGCAGAGCCAGGGCTGAGCCAAGAGACGGGGCCCCAGGAATTTGGTTCTGCCACTCTCTCCCTTTGCACCCACCTGGGGCTCAGGGGCCTATTTGTGACGGCAGCGTGACCAGAAAGTCTCCCGCGCAAACTGCCTTGCAGGTGGCTGAATTCCTTGGTAGCCAGGGCTGGGCTCCATGCACGATTAACACGCCATGAAGCGTGAGGCTGCAGGTAAGGAATCAGCATGCCCTGTCCTGGATCCTAGCCTCTTGCCACTCTGCTCCTTCCGAGTCACCCCCACCCACCCACCCACACACTGTGGAATCTTTTTTTCTCCTCGCCCAGATAATAAGCAGCAGGGCTGGCGGATGGATGCTGAGGAAAGGGCATAGCTGGGCTTCACCGCCCAGGGAAGGAGGCCAGGGAAGCCCTGTGCCACTTCACCCCCGGCTCGGCGAGGCCGGGAGGGGACACACACGGGTGGCGGACGCTGGAGTGAGCCATCCTGCCGTGTGGTTTCTCCCACCCAAACTTCACATACACTGAGCCAGCACAACCTCCCTGCCACGCTTGTTAGATTAACCATCGCTCTAGGACTTGTAAGAGCAAGAAGAGCCCTCTTTTTAGTTAGGAAAAAAGAGAGGGAATGAAGATTTGTTCAACTATCTTTACCACGGATTGCTGCGAAATTTGTATCCTAGGATTCTGACATCAAAGTACAAAAAATGATATTCACCTTGATACAGACCACAAATATATGTCCCTGCAACACATTAAGAAAGCAAGTTCTGCATCCGCGACTGGATAGTAAGACAGCAGGCCAGGGTACTATGGGGCCAGCTCTAGTGAGTGGAAATGGGCCTAGAAAGCCCGCAGCTGCAGCCCAGCCGCGGCCCCCCGGGCCGGACGGAGACGTGTGGTTTCCCAGAGACAAGGGGAGGCAGCTCAGGCACGGCCCTGGGCCGCCACCAGCCCCTCCAAGCCTCAGCCCCTCGGCCTTACCTCGCCACATCCCACCTCCTCCTCAGGTCATCCTGGGCCAGGGGCGTGGAGCCTTCGCCTCCTCCCCGTTACTCGTCACTGGACGGGCCCTGCCCTCCTGTGCAGCCACCTCAGTGGGTCACCGCACACGGTGTCCAAGCTCAGGGGGAGCACCCTGAGGAGAAGGACAGACCTTCAGGGTTACCTATTTGCCTTTCCAGGTCGGCGGCTTCATCGGGTGTGGCCCGTGGCAGGACTCCGGGGTCACTGAAGCTGGTGCGCAGCAGGGTGCCCATCACGAAGAAGAACAGGACGCCTCCGACCACGGGGATGGCAGGGGTGATGTTCACGGCCAGGTACGGGCAGCTGCCGGCAGATTGGGGAGGGGGGAGGGGGGAGAGAGGAAACACAGCGTCAGTCAACAACAGGAAGCAGGCTACGTGTGCCAAGAAGCCCAAAGCTTCCTGGGAGCGGCAAAATTGATTTCCATTAAAAATTCATCGACGTGAAGCATTTACTTTTGGGGAGGTCTGTGACTCTCTCCTGCGCGCCATTTAACCCTCCCTTGACGCCAGTATAGCCAGGCCCTGCTCCCCGTCAGAGAAGGATCAAGAGCGTCTTGCTTATGCAGTCGAAATCAGGGATCTGGGCTTGTAGTCTCTGCTGAGAACACCGCCCCAGGGTGCTCCCAGAGGACCCCAGCACAGTACAAGTAAGACTCCAAGTGGGAACTGTCGTCATCGGTCCTGGTCTCTCCTCCCCGGGTCAGGCAACTCAAGTCCATAGTGCTGAGGACCCCTAAAGGGCAAAAACTCATCTCGCAATATTTCAAAGCTATTCTGTCCACAAGGGGTTCTTGAAGTGTGGAAATGAACTCGCAGGCCACTTTCTGAAGATCACCAGAGGGATGTGGGCAGCTGGAAGAGCCGAGGCCCTTCCAGAGGGCACCTGTACCCAGCAGATGGATGTGGCCTGGCTCGGTTCTGTGAACCTCGTCCCCGTCTTTGGTCCTATGCGCAATGTGCAGCAGGCAGCGTGACCGCCCTGGAGCACCCCTGGGAAACTCAAACCTCTACAGCTGGAGCCCCTGCATGGCCACCCACTGCCACGGCCCAGGACTGTGCGAAGGGGCCAGAGGCTGAGCAAGGGCAAGCTGAGGTTTGGAGCGGGGAGGGGGCAGTGGGGTGGACACGGCCATGCCAGTCTATCCCCCGGGCATCCGAGTCCAGGAACGTGACAGAATCATGGATTAAAGCAGCTGGAGAAGATGTGTCCCCAGAGAGCCCGACTCAGGTGAGGCACTGCCAGGGCTCAGGAGAACTACGGGGAGGAGTACTGTGTGACTAGGAGGGCGATAGGGGCGAGTCTGCAGAGATGGGGGACCAGCACCCCACTTCTGTGCAGTGCTTTCTGCAGAAGAAGTGAGGTCTCTGATGGGCTGCAAGGCCGTGATGACAAGAGTCCAGGCTTGGGGGACCGCAGGCCACAGTCCCCTTTGCTGACAATGGCACTAAGGATGTCAGAGCACTGGGTCTTCAAGACGGCGGGACACGGACAAATTGAGAGGAGGAGCCTCCCTGGTGGCGCAAGGAGGTAGTCTCAGCACTATGAAGCTGTCGCCAGCCACTGCAGCACGAGTTCGATCCCTGGCCAGGGAGCTGACCCACAGGGCTCAGCAGACCTCAGCAGACCTGCTGCTCCCCTCAGCGTGGACTTCGTCAGTCTGCCTGTTCTGCTCCCCGCTCTGCTTCTGGTGAATCCTCTAACCTCCACATCTCTGGCCTGTACCCAGCTCTTGTACGCATGGATAAATAAATTTTTAAAAGAAGAGAGAGCAAGGGGAGGGGAGACACAGTGACCGAGGGGGAACTTTCTGCCAGCCAGGTAGGCTGTGGTTTCCAGGATACAAAGCATACCCAGTGCCAACATCTCTCTCCAGAGGGGGAGGGGATGGGCGGGGTGAGGACAAAGAGGGAAGGGAGCGCAGTGGACTGTGGGTCAGCTGCGGGATTCTGTGGTGGGTGCACCACCCATTGGGGGTACCCGGATAGCGCCTCAATGAAAATTTAGTCAGTTAATTAAAAGGAGAGAGAAGATGTAGCAAGGAGAGTAAGAAGGTAGAAAGAACTCGCATAGGAAAAGGGACAGCTGAGTGCTGGACTAAGGAAACCTGTCTGTGAAATCAGGTGCCAAAGTGACAGGATTAAGGCTGGCAAGGGGCCTTTCAGCTTTTGTAAAAAAAAAAAAAAAAAAAAAAAAAAATTCACGGGCCCTCCCTGGTGGCGCAGCGGGTTAAAGCACTGCACTGAGAATCTAAAGCCGCTTCCGCATGAGTTCGATCCCCGCCTGCCCCGGAGGTGACCACATGGCAGGCAGACCTCTCCTGACCCGCCCGCTGCTCCCTCAGCAGTGGACTTCGTCAGTCTGCCTGTTCTGCTCCCCACTCTGTCTCTGGTGAAGCCTCTCACCCTCCGCATCTCTGGCCTGTACCCAAGTTCTGTATGAATAAATAAATAGATCTTTAAAATAAAAAAATTCAGGTGCTGAAAGGTTTCAAGCGAGTTAAATGGACATGTAGGAAACAAGGACACAGCCTCAGCTGGCAAGGGGCTCCATGAGACGCCTGCCGCTGCAAGGGGTCCTGCAGCCTGACAAACAGGGAGACACCTTAAAAGATGGGGTGGCCAAGGTTCACCCCTCGCATGTGAGCCGGCGCTGGCATGTCAGCTTGAGGCATGCAGCGAATACAGGTCTTGGAATGGCCACCTTCTCTCCGTGAGATCAAGTGACATGGACATGGCCTTAACCGTGGCATCCAGCTCGGACCTGGGCTGTGGGCCGCGGCCAGGCCTGACCGAGCACTGCAGCCCCTAAGGGGCAGGCGCCTTTTCGGGGCAGCTCATGAAGGTAAGTGGGGGTGTCTGCATCACAACAGGGAGCTCCCAGGAAGCTGGGGATAATCACCAGAGGCTGCCAAGTCATTGATGAATCTGACTGCGCAGTCAACCTGGACTTCACATCAAGGAACTCAGAGGCCCAGGACCATTAAAAATCACCAGTGTCATGATGAGACACAAAGTGACATCACCTTTGTTCTTATTGTCATACAAAACCAACTTTGCACTGCATTAAACTTGAAAATATGCCATGGGCCATACTCAAACATAAACAGCCGCGGCGAAGGCATGACATTCGCCTTGGTACTGACATACATACACATACGTTCTGCTTCTCTTTAAGTCTCAAATAATCTACCTTAGATAGACTTTTGTTGCTGTTTCAATTTTACAGAACGGTTAGGGCAATGATCAGCTATGCAGAAGAGAATTTTCCAGAATTTAAATTGAGAATGCAACAGACAAATGCCTACTGGAGTAACGGCAGAAAATAAAAACAGTGTTTTCTCTCGTTCGCAGTGTTGTGGAGTTTGAACTGGAAGCAGCTGGAACAGCTGTGGAGCAGCATCAGGCACAGCTGGACAATATGGCCAGATGACCAGCCAGGAGGATGCCACCTGCCCAGGTGTTCAGAGCTGTGGCTTCTCCCAGGACGGCTGCTTCGGTGCCCTCGAATCCTTTTGTGAAGGTGCTTTGCTGTGTTTGCTTTTCTTCTCTTTTGCTTCCGACGTGTAACTCGGTTGGCCCACAGGCGAGCCAAGCTCAGAATCGAAATCCGCCAGTAAATGCTGGATAAACTTCCCACCCATCACAGCGGCACTGACTCAGACCTAATGTGCATAAAGGGTCCCCGGGCGGGTGCTACTCCTGACACCGGCACAGCCCACTGCAGGCCTGAATCTTGGGGCTCTGGCCCCACCAGGCTGAGGTTCCCTTGCCTACGCTCAGCAGGGCATTTTTGCTCCTCACTGGGGTACTCATGGCTACTTGCCACATCCTGACCTCACGCCGGGGGGTGGGGCCCTGGTGGTGAGCGGGGCCCGGGTCATTGTGACCTGCATAGGCTCAGCACAGCACCTGGCATGTAGATGTTTGAGAAACGTTTGTTGAGTAGAGATGGGGTCTGATGGGGTCTGAAGGAATGGGGTCTGTTCCCTAACTTCTGCTGTAGCACAGAAGAGCAGGAACATCAGGTCAGCCCTCCCCTCCACCTCAATGGTGGACCTGGGCCTGGAACTCCCTTCTGTCTTCCAGGCTGGCTGGGGCTGTCCCTTCTGTCAGACGGGGCCAGACCTCTGCCCTGAGAGGCTCTCCGGAGGGAAGGTAGGATTCTTTGGGGTGCACTAGGCTGGGCGTGCAGCAGCCTCTGCAGGTACAAAGAGCGCCCGGACCCCCTGCAGCCAGAGTCCCAGAGAGGACGCGCCCCGTGATGGCACAGCTGTCACCACTCGAGGTGCCCTGGGCAGGCCCCCTCCTACCAGCTGCCTGTGACAAGGGACCACGTCGAATTGCTCTTTAAAAATCATGGGCGGGCCCTCCCTGGTGGCGCAGCGGGTTAAAGCACAGCACTAAGAAGCCAAAGCCACTTCACATGAGATCGATTCCCGCCTGCCCCGGAGGTGACCACATGGCGTGGCAGACCTCTCCTGACCCACCCGCTGCTCCCCTCAGCAGTGTACTTCATCGATCTGCCTGTTCTGCTCCCCGCTCTGTCTCTGGTGAAGCCTCTAACTGCCCCTGAGCCTCTGGCCTGTACCCCAGTTCTGTATGTACAAATAAATAAATCTTTTTTAAAAAAAAAAATCATGGGCGACACTCTTTATAAGCATAGAGAGAGGCCCCTACTCAGGGAGGGCTCCATGAAGATGGCTTGAGGCTTCTGTTTGGGAAAACAAAGCAGCCTCAGCCCAAGCAATGGAGGGCAAATGTCCTAGACGCTGCCCAGGACTGGGATGGCTCCCCTCCCGTAGAAGCCAGGCTAGTGGGGGGCCAAGCATGCATGGGGTCTCTATTCGAGCACCCTCCCTGAGGAGGACTCCTGGTAGAAGGTGTGGGAACAGTCGTTGGAGATGCAAACCCGGGGAGTCTGCTGTCTGCCTGCAGAACCCTGACCTGCATACAAGCCAGCATTGGTGGAGTAGGTACAAGCCTCTCCGTCCTCATCAAGCTCATGGGAAAATGGCAGCAGAACAATAAATTCCCGAAGCATGCATTTCCACCCTGATAGGGCCCACATCAGCGTGTGCTGGTGACTCCAGAGACAATGCTTAAATACCTGCCATCAAAATGTCAGCTCGTTCACTGTACATTAACAATAGCAAAAGGTCCTTCCACAGATAATTAGAAATGGTAGCATTGCCAAAAGATTAGAAGGATTTTTCCAGTTCTAATAGCGACCTCTCAACATTTTAGGAAAAGTGACTACTTGTGCGTTTCTGGGGAGGGGTTATGGGCAGGTCGTCATTAAGT